GTGCCTCAGTCTGCTAAGCATCCAACTCCTGAAATTACTTAAAAATAAAAAATAAAAACATCTTTAAAAAAGAGAAGGGAGAGGCAGATGTTACATGTATCCTCATGGAAATATTCAACACTGCTGTGATGTGTTCTTACAAAACAATCTAAATTTAAAAGTGATCTGGCTTCTGGATCTACCAGTGTATAGGAATTACAGGAGACAGAGTGACAAGGTAAATGACACCTCTGGTGCAATCACCAAACTGTGGAAGCCTTTATAAAACACGTGACCCAGCTTCTTAAACAAAAAACAGCATGAGCGGCAGAGAAAGTATACCTATAAGAAAGTTAAGAGACACGTAAACCAATTGTCATGTCTCCTTATTCAAACTAACCAAATGTAAAAAAAAAAAAACCTGAGATAATTTGAACAGTGGATATTTAAGATTAATAAATAATATATCATAAAAGGGCCTTTATCTTTTAGAGATCCTGAAATTTGTGCACAAAATAATATGCTATATTGGGTTTCTTGAAAATGATTCTGGGGAGGAGTAAGTGGTCAAGGTTATAGCTCAGATGGTGGCAAACTATGGCCCAAACGCCAAATCCAGCCCACCGCCTGTTCTTGCAAATGAAGTTTATTAGAACACAGTCATGCTCATTTGTTTATGTGTGGTCTGTGGGTGCTTTCCTGCAACAGTGGCAGAGTTCAGTAGTTGTGATAGGAACAATATGGCCCACAATGCCTAAGATATTTGCTGTCTTGCCCTATGCAGAAAAAGCTTCTGATACCTGGTATAGCAAAATCAAAATGGGCTATGAGTGGATTATAAGCACAGCTGGGTGATGCTTATATGGCGATCAGAGACTGTATTATGGAACATGCAATGTTTTAAAATCTAAACCAACCAACCAGTACATACAGCTTTAGGAAAAGGCTTTAACTTGGCCCTTGACTTTATCACTGAGGATGGAATCCTTGTTCCACCCCATAGTGCATCCTCCCCAACACTCAAGACACTCCCAGAGACTGTTCAAATGTGGTGTGTCTGTCCACCTTGAGAACTACCTCAGAGCTTAGCAAGACCTTGGCCTGCCTTAGTCTGCCACATCAGAATGTCCAGTGACGCCTGGGTGGCTCAGTCGGTTAAGCATCTGCCCTCGGCTCAGGTCATGATCCCAGGGTCCTGAGATAGCCCCGCCTTGGGCTCCTTGCTCAGTGGAGAGCTTGCTTCTCCTTCTCCCACTCCCCCTGCTTGTGTTCCCTCTCTCGATGTGTCTCTCTCTGTCAAATAAATAAATAAAATCTTTAAAAACAAAACAAAAGAGAAACAAAAACATCCAGAAGATTTTGTAGGAAGCAGCTTAGATCGTCTTTGCTTACTCACTGTCCTTTGAAGAGCTTGCTGTTTCTAGAAAGAAACCCTTTGTTTTCAGGATAACAGACACTGTACCTCTCCAAGGAGTATCTCTGTTTCTTGGAAAAATAAATTGATCCTCTAATGCTGTGAAGCTAATGACACGAAAGCTATCAAAATTGAAACATAGTCACGATAAATCCTATATATCTTATAGATAAGCATACACACACGTATGTATCATGCTGCAAAACCCCCAAATAACCTCTTTCCTCAAATACATTGACCAAATGTGGGGTTTCCTAGAGAAACGCAGAGCTAACAACTGTAAGAGCAAGTTAGGTCATTTTAGAAGTCCAGTTCTGGTTGCTCCAGCAAACAGGTCCTCTCAAGGTGTGCTACTGAGCCGCTGAGAGCCAGAAAGATGAGTGAAACAGTGTTCCTGGCCTCAAGGGTCTGGTGGTAAAGGATTAGGATTGCAGCGGCTCGTAGAAACGAGAGGAAGAGGAGAAGCCATAGCAGTAGTTTCTCTTATTACGTACTTAGTACACATACCTGCATGTGTTAAACATTCTAAGGATTTTATCTCACTTCATCTTTACAGTCAACTGTGAGGTAAGTATTATTGCCCTCATTTTACACATGGAAACACTGGTGCTTAGAGAGGAAGTGACTTACACCCATGCTCTGCCATAGTCCAAGCTACTCTCCTAAATACTGTTGGTCGTTTAAACGCCGAAATGAACATTTTTCTTTTGTTTGCACCGTGGGGACGCATTTATAAAGAAGCTCCAGATGCGTGTCCCTGCACTGGGTTTCCCCTCATCTCTCATGAGTTGGATCTCATCTCTGAGGAGTAACTTTAATAGGAATGAGACTTTTGTTTAAAGATTGATTGAGTATTTATTTATTTATTTGACAGAGAGAGACATAGCGAGAGAGGGAACACAAGCAGGAGCAAGGGGAGAGGGAGAAGCAGGCTCTCCGCTGAGCAGGGAACCCGATGTGGGGCTCGATTCCAGGACCCTGGGATCATGACCTGAGCTGAAGGCAGACGCTTTGTGACAGAGCCACCCAGGCGCCGCAGGAATGAGACATTTTTGTTTGTGCAAAGTTTGAAGGATTATGTGAAGAGAAGAAATTGGCCTGCCTCAATCATGAATTTTGTAGTCCCAGGGGAAGTTGGTGTCTATCATTGTTTTTTTATTCTGTAGTCTTTTAAGTAACCTCTGCACCCAACGTGGGCCTGAAATTCGTGACCCTGAGATCAAGATCACATGCTCTGTGGACTGAGCCGCCAAGGAGTCCTTCTATCTACCATTTTAAAGAAACACTGGAACTTGGCTCTCCATATAAATGTAAAAGTTGGCAAATTAAAAAGTCTTTTTGGGGACACCTGGGTGTCTCGGTCAGTTGGCTCAGGTCGTGATTCCAGGGTCCTGGGATCAAGTCCCACATCGGGCTCCTTGCTCGGTGGGGAGCCTGCTTCTCTCTCCACCTCTGCCAGCTGCTTATGCCCTCGCTCTCTCTCTCTCTCTCTCTGACAAATAAATAAATAAATAAATAAAATCTTTAAAAAGTCTTTTTGCACACCCACATCCACAAAATTCTCTTTTGAGCACGTTGACAAGCAAGGCTAGCTCTGAGCAAAACTATCATGAGGACTGCGTGTTGTACCATAAGTGTTTAACAACTGGCTCTCCTCCCAAAATATGTGTCTATATGATAATTTTTACTATTATAAAGAATGTGTGCCAATTTACAAATAACAATAAAATAATACTCTGTATTGTAAATTCCATATAGTCAATCAATTTTCACAGAATGCTTTCATTGATCTTTGTTCAACTCCAGTATCCGTAGTCAAACTTCGGTTTCAACCAACAGATAAATTCAGTTACAAGATGAATGATGGTTGATGTGTTCGTTTATACTAAAGAGTAGAATGAAAGTGAAACAATAAAGACGTATATCAGGACTTCACTTAGTCCTTATTACGGGAATCCTGTCTTTGCTAAATCAGATAATGGTTTTTGAATACTGAAAGACTATTTCCCCAAAATTTGTGATTCACAATGTAATGGCTAGAGAGATAGCACATACTTTTGAGTTTAATTTGCATTGTTAACATTTTCTCAAGTCTAGACAAACAACCAGCAATAAATCAAGCCCTGATTTATACCATTTGGCTATTTCCCTGTTCTAAGCACTCCCACCATGGTCAACTTCAAACTACAATAATGATATCATTAAACCTTTACTTGAAAAAAATTGCATGGTAATAAGCCATTACACAGAAATCTATCATATATCTATAATAGACATAACCTCAAGTGCATAAATTATAGTAATATGCCGAAATGATTAGGGAATGATGAATTTGTTTTATAATTTATTTAATTGTAAGTTTGTATTAAATTGAACTGTATAAAATTACTGATAGGCAACCATTTTTTGATCTACAAAGGTTAAGTTCATACAATTCAACCTAAAACATACTCAGGGAGTTTGAGATGGTGGAATTATTGGAGGGAGGGTTGGATAATGATGATGGTAATCAAAAGAACCTTTACTGTCTATTAAATTAAGCTTTCAAAGTGCAGGACACTGTGCTAAACCAAGTCCGGCTATCTGTGATTTTTCAACAACTACAGCAGAATTTCTTGTGATTCGATCTTATCTAGCTTCTCCCAGTTGGAAAATACTGAGACAGAGACTGGAGAATTTCTGACACTTTTAATTCAGTTAAGAATTTAACACAATATATATGAAAGTGAAACACTATATGTGTAAAATAGCATTCAGGATATTTGACACAATTTTTGAGCTAAGTATAGGAGAGAACAAGCACTGTTTTTGGAGCATGAAACTCAGTAATTGTCCTGGCTTAATTAAGTACATACTGCACTATACCACCTGTGCATTTTGAGCGGTCTCACAGATTCTAAGATCTGGTTTCTTATCTGTGATTCGGGTAATAATATTATCTGCCCAGATACATGTTCCAGTGATTGTGAGATTTAAATGGGAAAAGAAAATAAAGAGTGCCTTATGAACGGTCCAATTTTGTAAAGGTAGAGACTTATAGAATCACAGCTCTGTGTATTTGCCTCCAGGATAGCTTTCTGGGCTCTGCTCCCAGACTTGGGGCTGGGGGCAGGGGATAGGGAGCGGGGGCGGGGGCGGGGGAGGGGGGATGAGGGGGGTTAAGAGCTATCAGCTTTAGCAGTGTTAAGACATTACTAAACATTCATTTTATGAACAACTGCATTGCTGAATTAGCTTCTCAGGATTCTTCAAACTGCCTGTTCCCAACTGATCTATTTACAAACATAATTTTTAAAAAGAGAAAAAAGCCCTCCCTTTGACCTCAAGAAATTCAGGACAAATGCGATTCACAATGGAAAGCTCTAAAGCTCAGATGGGGGGAGAAATGTTCACAGAAGCTTCAGGTGTTTCAGGACTTGCAATGGCAAAGCTGGGAGGGGACCAGCTCCCCTGCAAGGGAAAGAGCAGAGACCTGACCTTCCCTCTCTCCTACTCCACTTCTCCCTGTGGTGGTTTGCTTCGGGTTTATTGGGCTTATCTCGCTGACTCACTGTTGCTGTGAAAACAGGGATGAGCACGCTGTTGAAAGTGGCAGAAACCAGAGGAAACTAGTCACGAAAACCCTGACTCTCAGCTGATAGATTTCTTCCTGATAATTGCCACTACTACTTTTTTCCAGACTAGAGGAGATCTTCAGGAGCAAACCAGCAGCCAGAGTTGCTTCAGCCCAAATTGACTGTGATCTCTTTCCCCATGCTTGAGGGCGCCGAGTTCTACTTTAACGTGGACCATGGCTACCTGGAAGGCCTGGTGCGAGGGTGCAAAGCCAGCCTCCTGACCCAGCAGGACTACATCAACCTGGTCCAGTGTGAGACCCTGGAAGGTATGTGCTGCTCTTCTCCCCATTTACAAAGGGGAAAAAGGAAATGATGCTGCTCATTGGAAGCATGGAGAAGGGACTGTGTTCCCATGGCCTGAGAGTCCAGAATAGGTTCTTATTCCCTGGGTCCAGACTTCAGGGTCCGTGAACTTGGATAGGGAAAAAAATTACATCTTGCTTTTCAGTTTTCTCTAAGTAAAATTTCAGCATTTCTTTTTATTATGAATGGAGGCAACAGATCACAGTGGTTAGTACTTTGTCAACGAACAGTAAAAATTCGATGTTTTCATATCTCTGTACAATTCTTGCAGATATTTTGAAATATCATAATTTCATGGTTTCACAATTATACTAGGTATTAACTTACTCTTTTTTTTTTTTTTTTTTTTTAATTAGAGAAAGAGATCACAAGTAGGCAGAGAGGCAGGCAGAGAGAGAGAGGGAAACAGGCTTTCTGCCGAGCAGAGAGTCTGATGCGGGGCTCGATCCCAGGACCCTGAGATCATGACCTGAGCCGAAGGCAGAGGCTTAACCCACTGAGCCACCCAGGCACCCCAGTATTGCACTTATTCTTTAATCTTGGTATTTAATCTCTTAAGAAAGAAGTACAATGTCATACTTTATTTTTAATTTTTTTTTTTTTTCTGAGAGAGAGCACATGTGCAAGAGAAGGGGAGGTGCAGAGGGAGAGGGAGGGAATCTTAAGCAGACTCTGGGCGGGGCTGGATTTCACCCTGAAATCGTGACCAGAGCCAAAATCGAGAGCAGGATGCTCAAACCACACATATTAAAACATTTTGATAACCATAGTTTAACATATTGTGTTTACTTTGTAATTGTATGTATTTTCATTTCATTATTTATAAATAATATTTGCAGAAGGACTTAGTCAAAGTGCCCAGGGGCGAATGTCCCCCCACTAAATGCTAAGAAACTTGGGCTAGAAAATTTTATTCTATACCCAGTTTCTCAGTATATATTGATATGAGATTTATTTGAGGTTTCTCTTTAACTGAAGCTTAAGGAAAAAGCCAAGAGATGGGTGGGTGGTGAGGCCAGCCCTGCATTCAAAAGTACTGACTTTGACCTCTGCTCTATCTAGGTAGGGTGGCCTAAGGCTCATGGCCTCTGAGGCTGAGTCCTCACTTGTAAAATGCAATGGTAATGTCTGCTTTGCCTGCTTTGTTTGGAGAAATAAATGAAGTAATACCTGAGAGATACATTAGAAACCATGAAGCACTGTGTAAATAGAAAATACTTTTTTAAAGCACTTTATTGAGGTATGATTGACAGACATAAAACTGTATATATTTAACGTATGCAACCTGATAAGATTAGAGGTAAGTATACCTCCATGAAACCATCAGCATCATCGATGCCATAAATCTGTGACCTCCAAAAGTTTCTTCCTGCCCTCTGTTATTTTGTTTGCGCGCGAGGAGCGTGTGTGTGTGTGTGTGTGTGTGTGTGTGTTAACTACTTTCTGTATGCTATACAGTAGATCTCTGGGACTTATTTACCTTGTGTTTCTGAAATTTCAAACCTATTTACTTACATCTCCCCATTTCTCCCTTTATTCTGGAAATCATCTTTAAGCTACAATATTTTCAAAACTTTACCAAAGATTTCACATCTGTAATACAGTATTTTTATTACAAAAACAGCTACACTAGTTCATTTTGAAATGTACTTATAAAATCAACATGTCAATAATAAGGTGCTTTAAGACCACAAGATTATTCTAGAAAAAAACAAGGAAGCAATATGGATCAAAACTGCTAGGAAAGGTGTTAAAAGCAAAAGCAAAACAAAACAAACCTGAAGGTGACTTGGCAGAGGCTGGGGGTCCTGGGTCACTTGTTTGTGGTTCTGAGCAGTTAGAGCCAGAGTTAAGGCAGAGCTGGCCAGTCGGAGGTAGATGCTCTCCTTTCCCTAGCAGCGGAGACAGCTAGAAAAATCTTTCAGATGATAAATAATTCTGTTAGCTGCAAATAAGCACAATATAATTCCAACCCTAAATCACATCCGCATATTAAATGAGGAGTTTGGTGACTAGAGAATGTGAATCGCGTACAGAAAATCTGTGCAAGTATGGTGGTAACTTCATAGTGTGATAGATAGTAACTACACTTACTGCGGTGAACATTTCATAAGGGTGTATACTTGTGGAATCACTGTGTCCTAAACCTGAAACTAATATAATGTATGTCAGCTATACTTGAATAAAAAGAGAAAATGTACTTAAACTGAAGTATATAAAGTGAATGAATACAGGGAAGAATGAGTGTTTCTAACAGAAGCCACTTAAAAGAATTGTACTTATTTTTCAGTCAAGCTTTTACTTTTTTAATTTTTTAAAGTTTATTTAAGTCATCTCTACACCCAACGTGGGGCTTGAACTCATGACCCCAAGGTCAAGAGTCTGAGCTCTGCCAACTGAGCCAGCCAGGCACCTCCAGCCAAGCTTTTAAATGAGCTAAAGAATGCAAATTTTAACACAAACAATACATAAGATACCTAAAATGTGATACGAAATCACGTTTAGCCAACTCACTAAAGAACCCTCAACTTCAATTTGGGAGAGAAAAAAGGGTTTCAGACCCTTTTGAAGACCTGAAGAAAGAATCTTCTTAGAAAATACACAGGTGCGGGGTGCCTGGGTAGCTCAGTGGGTTAAAGCCTCTGCCTTCGGCTCAGGTCATGATCCCAGGGTCCTGGCATCAAGCCCCACATCGGGCTCTCTGCTCCACGGGGAGCCTGCCTCCTCCTCTTTCTCTCTCTGCCTGCCTCTCTGCCTACTTGTGATCTCTGTCAAATAAATAAATAAAATCTTTAAAAAAAAAAAAAAAGAAAGAAAGAAAAAGAAAATACACAGGTGCATGCATACAGAATTTTCCATGTACTATCAGGGGTCATGGACCACCCAGAGCCGTCCCTGCACCCTCTTAAGAAACCCTGACACCTACACCATTGCTTTATTGTCCTTGTGCTTCAGCTTTTATCTTACTTCCCTCCTAATAATATATTTTTTTCAACCATTCATTTCACAACTATGTTTGAATCTGTGGGCCAGTCTGTTTGGAGACTCCCAGGAATATCATGTGTGAGTCATTAACCGCACGTTCTAATGGCTGCTGAGAAAAGAAATCTAAATAAGGATTTCACGTCTGCAGGTGACAGTTAAGCACACCGATGCTTAAAATGGTCGCGGCTAGTCTGACGCTCTAGTCAAGGAGTGCAGGCATATCCGCATCTCTTTTTCCACTAAAATGTCCATGTCTCCTGAGCATGAACTGAAAATAAATGATTATTGTCTATGTTGATACCTTTTTTTTTTTAAGATTCTATTTATTTATTTGACAGAGGGAGAGCGTAGGAAGAGGGAATGGCATGCAGAGGCAGAGGGAGAGGGAGAAGCGGACTCCTGCCAAGCAGAGAGCCCTGTGCTGGGCTCCATCCAAGGACTCCAGTATCATGACTTGAGCCTAAGACAGACACTTAACAGCCGAGCCACCAGGCACCCCAGCTCCATTTTGATAAAGAAAATAATAAGGTCTGCTCTACTGATTATTCCATAGGATGTTGGGAAATAACTTGTGAAAAGCAGTGCAACTGTTGCACCTGCAAATGTGCTGAGAGAAACCCAACCGTCTCCTGAGCTGGATATTTTGAGAATTGAGAAGAGGGGCAGCAGACTGGCTAAATCAGTAAAACATGTGACTCTTGATCTTGGGCTTCTAAGTTCACGCCCCATATTGGATGTAGAGATCACTTAAAAATAAAATATTTTTAAAAAGAGAGTTGGAGGGGCGCCTGGGTGGCTTAGTGGGTTAAGCCTCTGCCTTTGGCTCAGGTCATGATCTCAGGGTCCTGGGATAGAGCCCTGCACTGGGGCTCAGCAGGGAGCCTGCTTCCCCCTCTCTCTCTGCCTGCCTCTCTGCCTGCTTGTAATCTATCTATCTCTCTCTGTATCTCTCTCTCTCTCTCTCTCTCTCTCTCTCTCTCTGTCAAATAAATAAATAAATAAATAAATCTTTAAAAAAAGAGAGAGACTTGGAGAGAAGAAATCAAGGTCATTTATTGGAACAGATGTTAAGGACTTTGGGATTTCTGTTTACATTTGCACAAAATATGCCTTGTGCCAGTAATGGATGAAGAAGAGTAGGTAAGACTGTCACTGTGGCACCCTGTGTTGACACAGACACTTTCTGCAAAAGAAAAGCTAACTTAGCAAAGATTAAATTTGCCTTTAGTCTTTTCAAATTCTCTAGACTTCAGAAGTGTTTTGATACTGACAAATTATTTTAGAATTACTTAGAAAGAATACATATGATTTCAGGTAAATTTAGAAGAGAAAATGAAGATTGTCTAGCAAAGCTTTGAAACGTCCCAGAATTCATTCTTGTGCTTAACTGCGTATATAATTGTGCCAGTGTGATCAGAAATACTCATCTGTTCCAAGGTCTGCCCCTGACTCACAATGACCTGAATCAGTTGGCTAGGACACTCGGTGACTCAGTCCTTCCCAGAGACAAAAGAGCAAGGCTAGTGCACATGGCGCGTCCCACTGGTAGTGTTGGAACTCTGTACCATATGGAAACTTTAAAACTTTTAAAAGTGACTTTGCAGCGAAATAATAATGCTAAAAGGACATGAAATAATCTTTTAGAGAATTAACACTTTTTTTTAAGAATTAAGACTTTGTTTTTTTAGAGCAGCTTTTAAGCTAACAGCAACGTTGAGGAGAAAGTACCGAGATTTCCTGTACACCCCCTGCCTCTACACCCGCACAGCCTCACCATTGTCAGCATTCCCCAGCACAGCCTAGGGCGCATTTGTTATAATCGATGAGCCTGCACTGATGCATCATAATACTCAGAGTCCATAGTTTACCTTGTGGTTCATTCTTGGTGTTACACACTACAGGTTTGGACAAATAGATAATGACATGTATCTGTCATTATGGTATCATACAAAGTACTTTCACTGCCCTAAAAGTACTC